AATAATTGAAAAGTTTTCTTTCTAATTTCTGTCCATAATGCAAACAATTGTTCACACACACACTACACACCTATTAGCTTGTTTTGTACACCCAAATCAATAAGTTAACTTGTCTTTTTGCTTGTTCATTACATTTTGATTTGTTCTTTTTTTTCTTCTTTGTAATTCAAGTTAGTTTGTTCATTGTGACTTGGTGTTTGTTATTGTTTGTGATGACTAGTCAACTGACAGATCTACATACATATATGTAGTCTTTTGTTTTAAATGTGGTTCAATTAATTTATATATAAATATTAAGATCTTATCTAAATGATCATTATCATTTTTCTTTCTGTATTCAGTTCGTTTAAACTTATTTACAAGTTGGATAGATTGACACATTGAAACATATTGTTTTGTAATATTCATTTGAAGAACAGTGTTTATTTTAAAAAAGTTAGTCGTTTCAAACTTGTTTTTTTAAAGAAAAATCTAACTAGTTTGCATCAATACTTTTGTTTTGCTCTATTATGTTCGAATGTATTGCTGTCGGTATTAATCAGTATTATATGTTGTTGTTGTTGTTGTTTTAATATTCACACTGTTATTCGAATGTTTGTTATCTGTCTGTATCGTCCTTGTAACACAAATTCTTCTTTTTAAGTTGCCTTTTTATTAATTTACTTGGTAAAGCTCATTGTTATTAATTTCTTTTGTTATGTTTCTCTACTGATCATTATCTACAGTTTATTCTACTTAGATATTATAACTAATGGTAATTTCCTTTTTACCTATGAAGGAAAAAAATATTCTTTCCCGTTCAATTTTAAATCTAGTCACATTTTTTAAATGGTTATATGATAAACTACATGTCTCTCTCTCTTACCCCTTATCTGTTTACTGCCTTACTTATCTTCTCGACTTCGAGAAGTTTTTTTATACTTAGGAAGAGGAAAGAATAAACAATGATCTCCCGGTTAACCAAATCTCTCACTTTTTTCTAATTATTAAAGCAAAACCTTTGCAAATAAACATATTTATATATATAGAATATCTGTATAATAATTATAAATAGTATTTTTACACTGAGTTCAAGTATACTTCTCTTTTTTTCTTTACTTATCCAATTAATATTCTTTTTATCTAATTTAGTCAGTTGTATTCTATCTTGTCGTAGTTGTTGCATTCATATTACCTGTTGTGTGTTTTATTAAAGTTGACATGTATGTAAACATATATTTATTAATTCATCGAAATAACAATCAAATATTCTTTTTTCGAATTACAATTTTCTTTTGTATATCTCTCCCTCTCTCTCTCTCTTTACTTACTTTTTGGTAAATTTACTCATAGTGTGTTAATCAGGGTTTTATTTACAAAATGAATTGATACACTTAAATTCTCTTTTTCAGAATTGAATACATTGATCGTCTACTAAAATTTAACTTTTTTTCTTATATAAGTTATTTCACATTTATCTTTCATAATTATGTCATTTAATAACTGCCTATTAATGTTGATGTGTTTCGCTTACATTTGTTGATTGCGTAATCGTGACAATAATGAACAGTAAAAAGAAATGGTAATACTGATACTGTTGTAAATTCATTGGACATAGTATTATGTGTTTTGTTGAAATATTTTATTTATTTATTTTTTCTTTATACCAGGAATATTTCTCATTTTGTAATTAAACTTTGTATTGAAACACTATTGCTTACGTTCGTCCTAGTTTACTGTCTAAATTGCTTTTTAATTTCCTTACTATCCTTTTATAAATCTGTATAAAAAATGTACGTGTTAATTTTGGGTTATAATATATATATATATATATATATATATATATATATATATATATATAATATCTTATCAGGTTTTTGTCTTATCCAGTTGATCGTAGCTATTACATTCCTCAGATAAGAAGTCAATACATACTATTCATTTTAGTTTAAGAGAGAATTTTGTTAGATATTTTAAACTGTACACAGCTAATGACATGATCATTTTCATTGTGTACTCAAGCTTAGGTTTGGACTTTTGCTATAATCCTTGAAAAATCAATGTTTGAACCAGTGATCTACAACCCATAAAACGACGTTCTTTTTTAATACCAAGTATCGAAAAACTAAAGAATTAGAAGTATATCTTAGTAATTAATAAAAATTCTATCTGTCTACTTGTCCCTAGTTGTCATTCAATTTATTTGCATGTTTTGATTTTTAACAAACTGGTTGACTTATTCTCCAAAGATTCTTATATGCATATGCAATGGATATAGTCTGAAATTGTTTAGCACACATTAAATGCTAATTGGTCAGTAGTGTTAATGAATAGTGAAGTTACAACTTGTTCTTTCCCGATTGTCTGAGTAAAGATAACTTTAGTTAAGTTGTAATTACAAATCAAGGTAAGACAAGGTGTGAATATGTGGAGTGAACTTCATTAGGTATGTAATTTAGTTAACCTATCATTTGATAAATCCTGTCTGAGACTAAATATTTCTTGACCAGTCTTTGCTTTTTTTCAGAATCTACCTCTTAATGTGTAAAGTATTCATATGATCAGTTTTAGTCGCGTTTTTTTGTCAAGTCGATAATTGGAACTGTTAAATTATATTAAATCTCTCAATCACTGTCATAAATAGTTTGATTGGGATTGTAAACAATCCATGAAATGAATTAGGTTTACATTATTCTACTCCGGTTGTTGTACTGGCTAACACTTCTAAAGGGCAAAAGTTGTATCTGAAAGAAGACAGCTTTTACGAATGAATTAGTGAACGTTTACAGTCACTATGACTCCTCATAGTCATCTCACGCCACAGAATATTTCCTTATATAACGAGAAGTATGTTAGTTTTAAAAGAAAGTGTATTCGTTACCAGTTGATAATAGGACTGAAAATCGGACTTACATCTTAACATATAGAAATACAGTTTAATTAATGTAATTCTATTTAAACCAACCCATACATTTAGTTGGACAAAATAATCGTTACTGTTGGAGTTTCTCTGGATTTGGTGGTTTAATTGTGAACCTTTAACTAACCTGGACGAAATTTGCAGAAACTCGAATTCCTCACCATCTGAAGTTTGTGTGTGCTGTTTATCTCATCCAGGAGGAAAATGTTGTACGACTGTACAACCCATCTCATACGAAACTCCATCAAAATCATTCACCTGAACCACAAATCTTCCTTAATTTATTGTAAAAGCTTTACTACTTACAACAAAAACTATATTCCTATTGTACAATTATAATATTAGCCTGATGTGAAATGTTCTTTGGATATTGCAACATACTTTGAACAATATTATTATTATACTTTGGATGTCCTCTATTCAATACCGCTGTTTGCTCTACCTAAGACACTAGTAAATATCACTCATATACCACTTGTATCTTAGACAACAATACTACTCTTTTCATCATTTAATTATTTAACCTAACCTGCTTATACAAAATACATTAATTGAACTCTCATGAAATCATTTCTTATTGAGTCTTCTTGTTATAGAGACTCTTTTCTATTAAATCCTGTTGAACATATGTAACTTCCACATTCATATGGAGTAAATAGTCCACTGAGAGACTAATTACAATGAAATGGAAACTTATGCAGTAGATATCAGTATCATCTAAGGCATTTTTATCCGTATTTCGTTACGTTGTTGGATATCAATTCTCTTAGATCTTTACGTTCGATTGATCTCTATTCAATCACTTGTTTCGTTCCACTGAAATCATGAACCGGTCAAAGTTTGACCACCAATGAAAACCTGCAATTACTGGACGGGCGTTCTATCCTAATGCAGGACCTCTCAGTAATTCACGTTCACAACCCTGCTGGCAGGAATGAAATCCAAAACTTCCGGTCGTAACCTTAAAACTACTGAGCCGGGATTCAGCGGTGTTAATGTCTAACGTCAATCAGTCCACAGTATTGTGCGACCATCTGCCATTGTCTTCGGTGGTTAACTACCTCACACCCAATAGGGTTGAATTTCACTTATCATAACTTCTCATTGGAACTCTAAGAATTCCCTGTCGAAGCTAGCTACCAGTGAGCACATGATAATTAACAGCATAGGGTTGTGGATATTGTTGACTCTCACCAAAATCACTAAACGATCAGGTTTCCAATGGTTATTTAACATTTATTGGTACATAATTTCAGTAAAACTTAAAAACCTACACAACTCTACACTGACACTTATTTCGTGTGTCATTCAAAAAGCGAGTCACTTGAAACTGGTTTTATACATCGATTTAATTAATGCCTGTAATATAGTCATCATTAAAATATCACATAAACCTTAACTTTACGAAGAACAAAACTCACTCATAGGCCTTAGTAATGGAATCCATGGCTCGTGTCTCGTCCTACTTTGGGCTCGTCAGATGGATTGATATTCACTCTGAGAATCGAACCCATTATCATACTCTTCAAACACTCTCATTTTTCACTTAACTGCTAATAACTATTAGTTTTTGCATTTCTAGCCATCATCCATTCACATATCCTAATAAAAGACTGATCAATTACAGTTCTAAACGTCAATGCTCAAGATACATATGATAGCAACAAGGAAAATCTAATCGATTTCATTTTTTTTTAACATCATCAACGGAAAAATACATTTTCTAGAAAACAAATAAATAAATTAGACAAGTAAGAGAGTCAATCAAATTAAGAAAAAGAATGCCACTCACCATTGAATTTGACATTTATTGAATACTTCTTGGTTTTCAATGATTTTTTAATTAAAATTAACCTCTTTTAATAAATACTACTTGAATATTATAATAATAAGATAAATACAGGTAATGGTTGTTTATTAAGTTTGTTTATTCAGAAAAAAAATACAAAAAAAATTTAATTAATAAACAATATATGCTCATCATCATTTAATTTGTTCATATGATGTATACATAAATTTCAATGTTCCTAGATATAATGGATAAATATTAATCGTGATTATTAATATCTATTTTGATTTGTATTATTATTATATTTTATATTTATGGAAGATATGTAACATAATGTCTATTTTTTCTTTTATCACTATCAATAACTGTATGATATTTTTTAGTTCTACCACCAAATTTTGATTTTCCAAATTGTTTCATTCTACCATATATATCATAATTGGAATAATTTTTAATTTTACCTTTTGGATCTTGTTTACCACTATGATGATATGAAATTGATTCTTCATAATCTGTTGTTTTTAAATTATGACCAAATAGAAATATATCCTCTGGTAGTTTATCTTCTTCAATATAATTATTATAATCTTGTTTTGTTGAATATTTATATGGGTTATAATTATTATTAGTAGTAATAATATTATAAAATGCTTTGGCATTATTATTATTATTATTACCATGGTTATAATGTATTGATGAATATCTGTCTACTGGTTTATAATTCACTTTTCTATGATATGAATGATAATTTGAAGGAATATAATTCGATGATTTAATTGGTTCAGTATAATAATTATTATTATCATTTTTATTATAATTATTAATTCCCAAATGTTTATAATCATAAGGATATTCTGTATTTGATTTTGGATGAATTTCTTTAAAACCTCCATTTGGATTTTTTTTCGCTGATTTACTTGAAAAATATGAATTAAATCGACCATGTTTAAGTTTCATTGTACGAAGGGTATAATATTTTTGTTTTAAATTTTTTGGATAAAATACATATAATTTATCATCAATTGGATAATAATCTTTTAAATAAACTAAATTATGCGGTACATACTTTTGATGTTTATATGATGTTGTAGGTAGATTAGAATAATCACGAAAATCTGCATTATTCTCAGCATTATATGCATTATAATTATTGTGAAGATTATCTTCATAATCATCCTCATTCTTGTAATAATGTTTTTCATAATAATCATTATATTGACCATCAGTAGGATGACTTCTAACTGTTCTTGTTTGATAATTAACTAATACATCTTGTCTTGGATAATATTCATCATATTGAACGTTATAATCATGGCCTGTATAATCATTATACGTACCACTGTATTCAACTGGTCCATAATATTGACCAATTTCATCAGTGTCAACTTGATAATTTAAAGTAGGCAAATAGTTCAAATAAGTTCCAGTGTCTTCATACACAACACCATTATTATTAATATCATCTTCATCAACAACATATTCATATGGTGTTACTTGATAAGTTTCATATGTTTCACCGGTTCCTTCATAATATGGTTGTATACCTGAAATAATATCTTCTTCATTAGTATAATAAGTTAAAGATTTTGGTAAATGTTGCTGATATCTACTATTATCTTGTGACATTAACATAATATATCCTAAACATTTTGATCGAATAATTAAAAAAATAATTAATATTAATTGTCTTATATTTAACAATTTCATTTAGACAAACTTCTTTATTGTTACTGTTTATAAGAAATAATAATTATGTATATTTACGTGTATAATCATGAATAACTCTTGTTTTATATTGCTTTTAATAAGTTTGCTTAAATTGGTCAATAACTTGTTCGATTAATATACAAATACGTAATTATATGATTAGAATTTACGCAACTTATTATTATTATTTACTTCATATATTCGTCAACATTTTCTATCTTTATTTTTATACTTAAAGTACAGTGCATGCTACTTTATTAATTTATCAATTCTAACGTACTTTGTTATCATTACATAATTAATTTATTATAGTCCTTTAATTATATAAATTGAATAGAGTGCATTGAAAGCTTTAGTTTATTTGAAAAAATAAAGAAAACAACTAAGTAATATTTTTTTGATTGAGATCATGAACGAATTGATGTTAGGTCACCGTTGGAAACCTGGAAGCACTGGAAAGCCGTTTCGTCCCAGTATGAGATTCCTCAACAGTGCGCATCCACAATCCTAACCTGTGGGATTCGAACCCACGGCCTTCAGTCTCGCACGTGAACGCTTAACCTACTGGACTACTGAGCCGGCCGGCATCCAATAGTGTTAGTGTCTAACCTCAACCAATCCACGAAATTGTGCTACTGTCTTCCATTTTACTGAGGTAGATATGTGTCTCTACCCGACACGGATTAGCTCCACTGGTCACGACTTCTCACTAGAACTCTGAGAATTCCCTCACGAAGCTAGTCACCAGTGAGCACATGGTAATTATCAGTTTAGGGGTTGTGGAGATTATTGAGTTTTTTTTATGGAGATCATAAACTAATTAATAAATTCTGTATAGAAACCACTGTCAAAATTAGATAAATTTTTACAATTGTTTTAACTATTAAACAATTATAGGCTCTTGAATTTCTAATTTTTTTATCACAACTGGTAAAGTCCAACTATATTGAAAGTTAGACATTTACCTATTAATTATATTGGATAATTGAACTATTTTATGAACTAATCGAATATGAATATGTAGATCGTCGGATTGCAATACACTTCTCGCTATTAATGGTGGATGTTGCCTAGAATTTCCATACTATCCACTAATATTCATTTACTTTGAATCTCTAATACTAGATAACACTGCATGGGAGTATTTCAGCTTAAATAGACAATTATTTAATATTATGAAATGTATAATACTCAACTTGTAAATGGAAATCGTTTGAGGTCATCACTATTTCAATAATTGATCATTATTATTTCATTATAAAGACTGGTTATTTTACGACAACTGACATACGAAAATGTTTCGTAAAATGTGTGCAGATAAAGAATATCAAGTACTTGTCTAAAAACAGCTTTCTTTTTATAAGTTTCGATTTCGATTTTTTTTATAATGGACTAGGATGTTATAGTACAAAACATAATTTATGTATACCTTTCACACTTCTTAAGCTTTACTATTTTAAAACATCTCATGTATAATAAGATTGGGTAATGTTATAATTAGCTTTGTTAGTATATTATTGTTAAAATATCAAATCTTAATGAATCAGATCTCTAATATCTATAGATCATGAGGCTATGAAAAAAAACTATCTTGAAATATATACAACTTAACTTGGTTACACAAAAAGGATATTTTCACGATGTATATTGATAACGATTATATTTAATTTACTGAACTTGCTTATAACATACTTGTTGATTAATATTAAATATCAGAAGGGATTGTGTGGAGATTTTAGGAATTTCACTAGTTGAAATCATGAATCCATTGAAGCCAGACCACCATGGAAAACCTGGGAACACTGGAAGGCCGTTCCGTCCTAATGTGGAACTCATCAGCTGTGTGTATCCACGTCCCCCGCGAGATTCGAATCCAGGACCTATCAGTCTCGCACGCAAGCGCTTAACCATTAGATCACTGAGTCGGCATCCAACTGTGTTAATGTCTAACTTCAACCAATCCATGAAATTGCACCACCGTACACCATTGTCTCTAGTGAGCTGATATCTCACAACAGCGCTCACATGCGAGATTGATAGGTCCTGGGTTCGAATCTCGCGGGGAGTGGAATCGTGGATGCGCACTGCTGTGGAGTCCCACAACAGGACGAGACGGCGTCTAGTGCTTCCAGGTTTTCCATGGTGGTCGAGCTTTAATTGACTCATAAGTTCAACTATTGAAATTACTAAAATCTCCACAAAACCCCTTCTGATAATAATAATAATAAATTATAAATTATACAATATACTCAGCAATATAATTTAAATTGAATCAGGTCTTGAAGGTTATTATTTGTCATGTGAAATATAAACACATAAAAATTTACATTGTTTAATTAAAATCTATTTTAGCAAATTACATTCATTGGATTATAATAGTGGCAATTTTAAATAGTTAAATTACAAGTAAACAAAAATGAAAAAAATTCATATGCACATGATTTACACTTTATTATCATAGTTCACATGAATGATAAATATTAATACAATAAATTTAACTATATCAGATTTCATGTTACTATCCTGTTACTATAGTAAAACATTGAATTCGTTATAATAAAAATGATTTTCTATTTTTAATTAACTTAATTATAGTGAATATAAACTGTTTAACTAATGATTCACACACTTTGTCTATGGTCAATAAATTTATAAACCGTTTGAAATCTTAATTCAATATTTATTAAATGTAGTTTGAATACAGTTTTTAGTCCAGAGTTGAAGTTAGCCTAGTAACTAATAGGAACTATAATACATTTTTAAGTAGGATCGTTCTTTTTAGGGACCCCCATAAAAATGTATAATCTTAACCTTCAGATTATTTGATGAGGATAATATCATTGTGATACTAATAAGTTGAAGTGATTAGTATATTTCACAAGTCTATGATATCCATGATGAAATGAGATACTCATTCCATGATTAGAACGGAGTATTTATTTATTGTTAACTTGATGTGTTGAACAAGAGAAAATATTTCTATAATACAAACACAACTTTCGAGTATTCATTTGCAACTTTCAGTGTGTTCTGTAATTCGAAGTGTTTTTTCGTCTGGTCATTAAGTGTTATTTCTGGGCCGTACTTTTGATGTACTGAAACTCTGCTTTTCGTCTGATGACTATGACAAATTCGATACCATGTTCCACCACATGCTACTTACAAGCAAACTTGTGAGTAACATCTTCCAATAAAGCCGTAAGACATTTATCTTGACTAATGCCTTCAGAAAAATTCAAATCTATTCATGCAATTTCTTATGACTTTAAGCTGTATACAGAGAACCAGAATCAGCTATAGTTATTTGCTGAAATTGTAAACTTGATTGATAGAGACTTAAACTATGTATTGGGTATGAACTTTAAAATTAAAAAAACGTTAGTTCAGTTAAATTAAAATTCTATTGTTTACATCACTGACTGATCTTAATCAAACAACCATTAAATACCTAGAAGCTCTGGACAACTATTCTGCCCTAGTATGAGAGTACAAAAGAATCAGTATCTAAGATCCCACAGGAAATCGAACCTAGGACCTTCACATCTAACGGTCAGTACTTAACCACTGAACCAATAAACCGATATCCACCATCTACTGCATCAAAGAGTTAGTCACCATTCGAACTGGAAGATAGTTACTCATTACTGTTGGTTGTTTAAAATCACACATATTAACCAGTGGATGCTGTCTATGTAACCAATGAATCAAACATTCACCTCAAGACTTTAAGGTCCTAGGTTAGATTGTCACCAGGTTCTTAAACACACACTTTTGCGTAGTTCTATACTAAGACAAAGCAGCTGTACATTGATTTTAGGTTTTCAATGGTTATTTAACTAAGATCAGTCCGTAACGTAAACTATAAAAGCCAACAGTCTTCATAAAGCCACTATCGAAAATTAGTATTATTAAAACAATTGTGTTAACTTTGTTTTGATTATTTTTACAAATAAATCAGTGATCCAATTTATCGTGTGAACTATCTGTTACAGTTATTTAAGTCTTATACGTATGTTTTTGTGTGTGTTTGCTTATTTTTCATAGTAATCTTTACAAATAACGCTCACTGTATTCACTTACCGGTTGGACAGTCATAAGCATTTGATTTGCATTAAATTATCAAATGTGATTTGCATTTGATTATAAAATAAATTGATAAAATAAAATTCACTTATTTGTTTTAGTACACTTAACTCTATTATTTCAGTACCTTATGTCAGTATGGTAGATCAGATGATGGTATTATGTAAACCCTGTCATCGGTGGTTAATATACATTAACTAGGTAGTAATTTTTATTCTGTTAATGACTTATGGATTTAAATCCGAAACAACATAACTTAAAGATAAACGTTAAGCTAGTTAGTCGCTGAAAATCAAAGAAAACTAGACAGTTATCTTACTCCAATATAATAGTCCTTTGCAGTGTGCACACACAACGAAACATAAGATCCAGTCCAGGACTTGATGGTGAATCATAGTTCAGTGAAGCACTATTACAACTATAACCAGTCGATGTATTTCTAAGGATGAATAACTTTTTCCTGATAACTATAATGATGATCAATATTGACCACCACCATTTTCCTTGAAGCAGTTCAATCTCTCAGAATAAGCTGTCAGATATGGAATGCATTATTTATCACAATTAATTTTGTTGGAAGGACAAGAATGTACTTAGTTCAGACCGATTGGTATCAAGGTATGATTGAATAAACTTCTAAAAGAGACTACATATCCACACCATTATTGTGATTCGAACAGCTACTAAGACTACCTACAGAAAACGTTCAGGTAAAGCTCAATAGCAAATTTTACCATCAAACAGGTAGTGTGGCTACAGGTAGACAAACAGGATCAGTTGTAATGTTTCGAAACAATATATATATATATATATATATATATATATATATATATATATATATTCTGTAAAAGCAAGTACGTTGAAAGAATAGAAAGTTGGTCATTAACGTTCCTTAATGGCCATAATCCACCTGTTAT